AAAGGCCCATATTCTGAATATTTTATAAGGTACCTGGCTATGGCAAGACATTTGCAACCACCTCTTCCTGAGAACATTCTCATCAGTTTAATTGCACGACATTTTCCAGAACATATCTCAGTGTTATTAGTGGGTGCAAAAACATTATCCGAAGCTTTAGATAGACTTAGTCAAGCGGATTACTATCGACGTTTTTCTGACCAATCAACATCATTTCAAAAATTTGAAAAAAATAGAAGTTTTCCTCAAAAACCAAATTTTCTAAACAAAAATCATCGAAGTAATGTAGCAACGTTAGACATTTCTCAAACTGATGTGGCTGAAGAGGAACATTCGGGAAACGAGGATACGCTCAACCACTAGGCTCGGTGGTTGATCGAGAAGATAATGTTATTAGGGCCAATATAATCAATAATAATCCCGTGGATGACTTACTTTCTAGTGACTGTGATTTTAGTCATAAAATGATAGACAAAAGGTCGCCAATTATACCCATAAAAATATTTAACATAACTTTCCCGGCTCTTATTGATTCAGGTTCGGAAGTATCTTGTATTTCAGGGGATGTTTATAACCAGTTGTCAAATTTTCATGAGGATATACCAACTTTTCCAGTCACTGGAGTAAGAATTACGGGGGCGTTTCGTACGAAACAGAGACGTATAACTCATCAACTATTAATTAATTTTTACGTGAATTCTGATGACATGTTTCAGCAGGAATTTTTGCTGGTATCGGATTTGGTTTTTCCAATAATTCTTGGGACAGATTTCTTACGTACCACTAATGCTCATGTAGATTTTTGCAACAATAAAATAACTTTTTCCAAGAATAATAAAACAATTTCAGTGAGCGAACTGAACACTGTTCACGAATATGCAGCTCCTTCAGAACCTTTTAACTTGAGAGTAGTGGCAGTTAAGCAAAATAGTTTTTCAAGTTGTCCTAATAATAATGCAGATTGTAGCTTAAATTTGGATTTCGTGCAGGATATCAGTTGTTTGAATGATAAACAGAGGAATACCCTAAAAGATCTATTACTTTCTTATGCGAATATTTTTTCCGATATACCGGGGAGAACTAATTTGTACGAACACCAAATAACTTTAACAGATACCACCCCGTTCCGATCTAAACAATACCCTATCCCCTTTGCACATCGGGAGACTGTGCTCAACGAGATCAAACGTATGGAAGAACTAGGCGTGATTGAGCGTGCTTCCACACCTTTTATTAGTCCCCTCGTAACTGTCGTAAAGAAAGACGGGTCGGTGCGAGTATGCCTCGACGCTCGTAAACTCAACGCAGTGACAGAGCGTGATCACGAATTGCCTAAGCCTATCGACGAAATTTTAAAAACACTTTCCAGTTCGGGGGCGCGCTTCAAAACCTGCTTGGATCTCAGTGCCAGCTACTGGCAACTTCCATTGAGGAAATCTGATAAAAAATACACGGGTTTTTGTGTAGGAACTCAAACGTATCAATTCACAGTTTTGCCATTCGGTTTGGTAACCGCTGTGTCATCATTTACAAGATGTATTTCTAAAATTCTAGGTCCAGCTTTCGAAAGCTTTGTTATACCGTATATCGACGATCTGTTAATTTTTTCAGAAAATTTCGAAGATCATATTAAACACCTGGAAAGGGTTTTCAAGCGTTTGGCCGAAGCTAACTTCACATTGAAATTCAAAAAATGTCGTTTTATGCCTGAAGAATTGCATTATTTGGGATTTGTTTTAACGAGTGATGGTATTAAACCCGACCCTTCTCGTGTTGAATCAATCATCAATTTTCCAACGCCAAAAAATGTCAAGGAACTGCAATCCTTCATAGGCTTATGTAATTACGATAGAAACTTTTGTGAACATTTTTCCTCTTTAGCAGAACCTTTATCACGTTTGTTCAAGAAAAAAACCAAATGGTTTTGGTCCAGTGAGCAGGAGTGTGCCTTCAACACTCTGAAATCCGAATTGCAAAAAGAGGTTTTTCTATATTACCCTGACCACGCCCACGCATACTACGTTCAATGTGACGCCAGTGAATTCGGCCTAGGCGCTCAGCTGTTTCAGCGCATCAACGGAGTCCGCCGTGTCGTCGCATATGCAAGCAGATTGTTGTTAGTCAGGGAGCGCGCGTACAATTCGTGTGAAAAAGAAATTTTGGCTCTCATTTTTGCGCTGTACAAATGGCGTACTTATTTACTCGGTAAACATTTTCATGTGTTGACTGATGCACGAGCCTTAATTTATATTCAAAATTGTCGGTTACTAACACCACGTATTACTAGGTGGGCACTAGCTATCCAAGAGTTTGATTTCTCTATTCATTTCGTGAGAGGTTCTGAAAACGTAATCGCCGACGTACTCTCGCGTTTTCCGACACCGCGCCTATCCACACCTAGCGACAAGTGTTTCAAATTATTAAGCTTGCTCAAATTGTCGCCCGGTTTCGAATCATATCTAAAAAGCTGGCCTCAGTTGCAAGCGGAGGACCCATATTTCGGTGAGATAGTCGGGTTGTTGCAAGATAGGGAGGCTGTTCATCCGGAAGGGTTCTTAATGCATAATAATTTTTTGTTCGCGCGTCGGGCTGAGGGAGAGCCGTATCTTCTTTGTGTACCTAGGATCGCCGTGACGAAATGTGTAAAGGAATATCACGAAACTTTAGGGCATTTCGGGGTTTTCAAAACTTGGACGGCCCTTAAACGCGACTTCTGGTGGCGAGATATTTTCCGAGACGTGAAAAAAATTATCAAGCACTGCGAAGTTTGTCAAAAGACAAAAATATCTATCCTGCCTCGCCCTCCATTGACCCCAATATTACCTACTCGAGTAAATGAAATACTGAGCTTGGATTTGTATGGGCCCCTTCCGAGATCTAGGGGTGGAGCTGCTTATCTGTGTGTGGCCATTGATGTCTTTTCTAAGTTCATAACGCTTTACCCTCTTAAAAAAGCCACTACAAGGGCCATCTTGAACCGGTTGTTGCTGGATTATTTTCGTCAACACGGAAGGGTCGAAAATATCTTAACAGACCATGGCAGCCAATTTACCTCGAAGTCTTGGTCAGATACTCTCACCCCCTTAGGGATCAAAGTCGTCTATAGCTCGGTACGGCACCCACAGTCAAACCCGGTAGAACGTTCCATGCGCGAGCTCTCCCGTCTTTTTAAAACTTATTGTAGTGAGAAGCACACTCGGTGGGCCTATGAGGTAAGTAGATTTTCAGAGCTGCTGAACTCGGTCACTCATGAGTCAACAGGCTTTTCCCCCCGAGAGTTACATTTTGGTAAATCATTTTCTTCACCCATCCGCGATTTATTAAAGTATCCGCCTGGTGATTCAGTTTTTGAACCTTCTGCCGACGCTAAACTCATATTGGCCAAAGAAGCTATGCAGGGCCGGGCTGCACGTCGTAGTCTCCATAGGCCAGGGCGCCCTCAAAAAGATTATAGCCCAGGAGATATGGTGCTACTTAAAGCTAACCCCATATCTTCCGCATTAACAGCTGAGACGAAAAAGTTCCTATTGATTTTTGAGGGGCCTTATCGCATCAAAAAGAAAGTAGGTTTGTTCACCTACGTTTTAGAGATGCCCCAATCTACAAAAGAGCGTGGTACCTTCCACGTGTCTCATTTGAAACCCTATTTTCCTCCTATAATTGAAACTATTCAAAAATAATATAGGGCAATATATTCCGTTTTTGCATAGTTTGGGGGCGGATGTAACGAAATCCAGGTTTCTTTCAATTTGTATTGAGTTGATTCTCCTATTCAAATGCAGATGTCCGTACTTATATCGATTTCCTATATTTCAACTAAATTCGCGAAGTCGCTCGATACCGGCAAAAACTCGGCCGTCCCACTTTTTATCTCCACGCGCTTTTTGGAATGCTAAAGAGATTTACAGAAATTAATTTTCGCGGTAGGTACTCTGATTCTTTGTACTATATTTGTATCTGATAACCAGTGGTTCTTTCTGTGCACCAAGAGATTTATTTTGCGTGAGCCGATGTACCTGTTATTTAGGTGAGTTTAATTTTGCTCTTTATTCTGTTGCTGGTTGTTTTCCCCCATAAACGAGGATATATAGGACTAAATCGATTCATTTCGTTATTTAGATACGAACAAGTTTGAAGATAATTGTACCCCATAAGGCGGATATTTGCACCGAATTAAAAGGATATCAGCTGCTTCACCAAATTAGTGTTTTTGTTACGAAATTCGGCCCAAGAACCCATCCCCTGAGACCTCCTCAGCAGTCACTGGCGCCCATTTTATTTGACTTTGTGCCTGCTTTGTTACACTAGTTACACGGCTTGTACCGAGTAGGTTAAATTTCATTGTCAATTATATTATATAATTAATTTTGGTAAAATTCGATTCTGTGAACCTTTTTCGGAATACTTTCATTTGAAAATGATGCAGTAATAACTGATGCTACCATTTACAGTAGCAAAAAACCTTTGCATGCTGAACATATACCGGGTGTTCATTTGAAAACTTCCCACCTGAAATATCTCGTTGAGTAGACGGTTCTACGAAACTAGTCGCTTTATTTCAACAAAAAAAGTAACAGTTTAGACCTGAGCATATCGTATTTATCAGATCAAATGAACACCTGGTATATGATTTGGTTCATTGAGACGTTTTGAAGATAATTTTTCACACTTCTCGAACATCAAACATTTGGAATTGGATTTCAAAATTGGTTATCGATTTCATTCCAAAAATATGTTCAACATCATTGAGAAAAAGTGGTCGGGATAGACGATCATTTCAACTGCCGACTACTGTTGAAATGATTCAACAAATAATGTTCAGTTGGACAGGTGGATAAATTATCTCTTATTTGGAATCAAAAAGTTCTTATATACTCATAGTAAATTGTCAGTGGTGCGTTGATTTTGCGGATTAGTTCATATTATGATATTTTCATATTAACGAGTGATTATTTTATTCTAGAAAAACAAGATGTGATCACTGGTAGTCATATTCCAACATGGATGCTCCATGGACTTCCTTCATCGTTCAGCTCATCTTATTTCTCTTCGTGTTGGAATCCACATCTACTTTTAAGCCATCAGGTAAATAATATTATTAATATTATTATTATTATTATTTTCATTGAAAATATGTTGGACCCTTTGAGTATGGATGATTTCCACGATTTATTATTATTATTAGTTCAGTATTATCTGAGGTATTATGATTATCATTTTTATTGTCACTGATTATAATCATTATTATTATCATTGTTTATAATTATTAATTATTATAATTTTTGGTCTTTCATGAATAAAACACTACCAATATCATTTCATCAGGAACGAATCAAACGATAATATTTGAGGATTGACCAAACCATTATTGAATGTATTCAAATAGTTTTTCATTATAACACCAGAGGTGATCAAGCTGCGTTATTGATGACCAACCAAAAGTAGCAATGCTAGGCAAAATAAAGGTTGCTAGACAACTAGCAGAGCTGCTACCATCCTGCTACATATCATAGCAGCGTTGCTATAGGAAACCCTTTCAGCTCCTAGGATCAAAAGTACTTCAAGTGAAGCTTAAATTTCAGGTTTAGTTAGATATTTAGACCATTTTCTCTTACAGGAACATGTTTTTTTCCTGAACGCTGGGAAGGAACATGGTTTCAATCTGGAGTAAGGCAACCTATTCTTTTAGAGGGACCTAGGCTCAGTACCAAAGGAAGGTGCCTAAGTTCTGACGGAGATAAGTTCCTCATGGTTGATGAGTGAGTTTTGTTTATGAGTGATATATGTAGAACATGAACATACAGTGTGTTTCACTTCTGATGGAAGCAGCCCTATATATTACGTAATCGTTGAGTTAGGAATCTGAAATTTGCAGGAGCGACAGTTATACGAAAAATACACTTATCACTTCCCAGAGAATGTAAATGTCCTACCTCAGTGGAGTTTCATGGAACGTTTCAATAAAACTGTCCTGGACACGTTTCCTAATGGTTTCCGATTTTGTATAGTTTTATCAACTCTTCAAAGAAAGTGGATATGGTGTAGAAATGATGATACATTGACAGTAGAAACAGACAAATCTATTACTTACTACTTATTCTTATTTAACAAACAGTAGGCAATTACCCATCACACAAATGTGAGAAATAAAAAACGCAAATAGTCTAATGAAGTCGACACTAGCTCAAAATATCCTAATGCACACTTGATTAATTTATATCTTCTAAACACAATGTATGTACTATCCCCAAAACGGCGAAAGAATTTACAGCTAACCAAGATAATTCGATTTCCGAGAGAATGGAGCCTACCTTATATGTATACAGCTTCTCATGATGATGAATCAAATCACTCGACTTCTTCGACATTTTCAGTGGTATACACTGCTCGCCAACACAACCATGAAACCACCGACAGTTCCGGAAAATTATATTAGTTGGCAAGACAGGTTGAAAATCACTTCGGATTCGAAATTAGGACGTCCAATTCTCTAACTATTCATATTTTTACTAGATAATTTTCAGTACTGAAAATTTAAATTTCGTCTCACCTTCCAAAGAAGCACCCACGTTTCTTTCAGTAGTTATTAAGATACGATTCTGAAATTTGCACGAGAAAGCAATAGCCCAAAGATACAGTGAACCATCAAGTGAGATTATGAGCAGTGTTTATCACTGATGATAATTCTAGTAGGTAATCGACTATATATTTGGACTCTTCCTTTCTCCTGCAAATTTCAGAATCCTACCTTGATAATTACGTGAAGTGAAACAAAATATAATATGTCAGGCTTGAAATTAAAAAAAAATTGAATAGTTAGTGAATTAGACGTCCTGATTCACAATCCTAGCTCAACATTTACGTAAGATGGGAGCTTCCAAGAGAAGTGAGACTCACTGTACATACATACCAGGTGACAAAACCATTTTTCTCCTTTATTTTTAAGTTATCTTCTCGAAATTCAGAACATCGAATATGCTTACCAGAGGGTACTTTCACACATTTTAGGATTCTTTTCATCTGCCGGTTTTCCTGGAAATGACATCAACTCTCGATTTTCCATAATTGGTTAGAGATTTTCATAACAAATTCCAAGATAATGGGTTTGATTGGGTGATTTCGAACGATTACATGGATATTTGCGTTCGAACCTTCCATATGATCAATGAGTGTAAAATTGGTTATAATAATCTCTAACCAATTATAAAATAAAATATAGTGTGTTTGTTCCATCTGGGAACCGGGTCATTTCATTTGAGAATCGAAAGTTGATGTCATTTCCAGGAAAACTGGAAGGTGAAAATAAACCCTAAAATGTGAGAAAGTGCCCTCTAGTGAGCATATTCGATGTTCCAAATTTCAGAAATATAGCTAGAAAAACAAAGGAGAAACGGATGGTATACAATGGGTCTGTGTCACCCGCTGAAATAATCTATGATCTAATAATTATATAGGCGATGGCGCCGAGAACATTCCCAAATTTTATATTTTCGTACGAATTCCATTTCAAAAAAATGAAAAGCGAGATTCAATATGAAATATATAATTCGAGACGATGGAATGGTTCAGAAACTAATACAGATTTGATAAATATCATTTTTCTGCAACCGACACAAAAGTCGTCCATTTTAAAACCAAAATCAGCTCTTGAAATGACGTTTCTATTACTGACACAAACATAGGTATGTTTGTAGGCAATACTTTTAGTTCCTACGAGCTAAAGTTGAACTTTAGCTCCTAGGAACTAAAAAGGATGTACTAGGTCGTCAAGAATAAATAACATTGTTACGGTTGGTTATTTGGGTTGGGACGCATACCTGATTTGTTTCCGATTTTGGCAGATATGTCATTTCATACCCATGGTGGAGATATAAATACACCATATTATAGATGAGTATTTTTGTTCTGATCAGGAAAGCCTTTAAGATTGACATACTTACTTTATCTGTATTTCATTATTTTCATTCTTTAATCTCGGGAATTGATTGGATAACTTGTTTTTGAATGATCACGGCCAGCAATATTTGTTTTATCTCACACAACGATATTATTTACCTTCATTTGACTACCGAGCCAAACACAGAGGAATAAATGATAGCTATTATTTTTGTTGATATGCTGAATAACATAACATTTTCCTCTTCTTTTTCCTATACCTGGCACTGGCACGGTATTCGCTATAAGGGCGGGCACCTGGTCCAAATTAATTTATCGAATCAACGATTCGATAGAATACACAAATAGGTCACTCTGGTTGAATTCAAATTGAAACTACAATTCGAACATCCTTGAAAATTGAATAAACCTGATCTGTAAATGCAGGTAACATGTAGGTAGAAATATCCCCACCACACGGATTATTTGTTGCATTATTGAATTCGTACAAGGTATTATAATAATCTGTCAAGTAAGTCACATTGGTGGTTACTTCCTCGGTTACTCCACATGTTTATTTTAGTTCATTCTCTCGGTTGCAGAAAAAATAGCATGATTTGATCCTGATAAAACAATCTACTATTTTATTTCGGATAATAATAATTTTAATATTTATAGGAAAAGAGCCTGCTACCGTTGCGTTGTGATCCATGAGAAGCATATAAATGTATTACAGTACAAAGAAAGTGAGTACTTATATATTTTCCTAATATGTATTTGCATCAGCTACTATTTTAATACCTTCAGCATGTCTTCCTGTGTCGATTTTTAATGGCAAATTATAAATCTGAAGTAAAAGTATACCTTCGCCAATTTTTCAATACTGCTTGCGCCGATTTTTAAACTATGGTGCACGGTGCACCTTCACCAATTTTTAAAGTGACTAGACCTTCACCAGTTCTCAAAATCTGTTTTGAATAGATTGAAGGGGGTGAATTGTGGACTGTGGTGATATTAGACATTTCCTGTAGTATTTTGTTTAGTTTTTAGTACTTTCATATTTTTATAGCTTGATCGTCCAAGAAGCGAATTCTGGAAATTCTCTCAGTTTTTTATTGATTGATGTATGCATATGAGCTCAATGACATGTGAGATTATTGGTTATTAATCTTCACTTAGACAAGTATCGACCCATATTGATTATCATACTTTTTATTTGTCGTTTCTCAATTGGTTGTTCTGTCTTCAACAATATCGTTAATTCTCGATTTCACTGTAATAAACAACTTGAATGCGTTAATTCCCAATTTGAAATTGTTCACTTATTATTAATTCGAATATGCTGATTCTCAATTTGGTTACAGTTTCTGTTATCTTGACTTTGTTAACCAATTTGGATGAGTTTAGAACTAATTAAAAATTGATAATTATAAATTTGATTTGAACGTGAAAACGCATAGTGTTCCTCATATTGAATTCTTATCGATTTTTTATGATCAATTTGAAATAATAGAGTAAACACAATCTCAAGCGACGTCCCAAGATATTTCTCAAATTTTCCCGGACACCCTATACATAAAACGACAGATACAAATCGATGCTTGCTGTTGTGGATGGCAGCATGTCTACGCATCACATTTCATAACTGCTATATCGCGATGTTTCCACAATTCCCATTATTTCTTTAGGCCCACAATTCGGTATACCCACTGTCCGAGGGCTGCACTGTTGCCAAATACTATGCTATGTAATTCTCCGAAAAATATAGGTACTTCGCCTAGGAAGAAGGTTTATTTGGGCCGAGATAGGTTACATTGTTTAGCAAGTAGTCTCCTCTCTTATAAATAAAGAATATTCTCCTTCTTTATGTAACGACTTCAGAATTGTTAGAGCTATAGAGGGAAATGGTATAGCTAGACGCTTGTTCCACTCATTATGTGACCATCGACACATATTGTGTTAGACTTACATTAGGCAAAAGTACATTCTTCGGGTATTCTCGGAGACTGTGGGTTTATGGAAATGTGGGCCCATCGAAATGTGGGCACAATGCAGCGCACTCTTATGAATAATACTCTTGCAGCTTATTGCCACAGCAGAGAGGCCCTTCCGACCCTCTGCGCCCTTATAACCGGAGACGCCCTACTCTACTCGATGTTCCGCGAGAACGCCTTGCCCATCCAGTGTCCCTTCCGCGGGCCCTTTTCCTTCACCTACAACACGGGGCATGGTGAGTGCCGGTCGCCGGTTTCTAGCATCGAGACCTGCACGGAGGACAGCAAGTTGCTGCTGAGCTACCAGGCGTGTCCGGACGTCGACGCATCAGAAAGTGCCAGTAAGAATGATCCAACGACATAAAACTCTATTTGCATCTGCATCACTTTACTCTGGAGTAAATTACCCTTACGTTGGGCGCCAATTGTAAAGACCCTACGTTGGGCGCCAATTATAAAAACCCTACGTTGGGCGCCAATTATCAAACCCTACGTTGGACGCCAGTTGTAAAGACCCTGCCTTGGGCGCCAATTGGAACGACCCTATTGAATTATATAAAAATGCGTGACATTCAATCGTCTCCTAGAAATCCTATTCGAACATATTCAATTTTTATTAAACATTTACGGAGGACAGCAAATTGCTGAGGAGCTACCAGGCGTGTCCTGACGTCGACGCATCAGAAAATGCCAGTAAGAATGATCCAACGAAATAAAACTCTATTTAAATCTTGATCATTTGACTCTTACGTTGGGCGCGAATTGTAAATACCCTAGTAGTAGTAGATGAGTGACATTCATTGGTGTCGTAGAAATAAAAACGATATAAACCCTTTTCTATACCTCTATCACTTCACTTCGTCCACTAGGCATATGGAATCTTCTGAAAAAAAGGAGGAACGACTTTACAAAACGAAGTGTTTATGGACCTACTCGTAGTCGCATCAGGGTAAACGACAAACTACCTGAAAAATAAAGAATTATTCCATTGCATCGCAACAATACAGTTCAAAATGATATGAAACTGGGGTGGGGAGGTCACTGTTTTTTTTTTTTTTTAAAGAAAAAATATGAATTTTGAGTTGATAAGTTAAAGGTTCGGGTGCTGTAAAACAAAGATTTGTATTTTTTAAGCAGCATATTGACCAGGTTGAAGATATCATTCAGCTGTGGGATGTTCAAATTTACAGTACCAAGTTACCAGGTTTTGGTAAATAAGCCAAGATTCACAGTTGATTTGTGAATTAGTCAACTTGAACAATAACTGATCTCTGAATTAGTTCAATTATAGTCCATTTGTTTGCTAATATGAATTTAATTTTTACCACCTGTCATCTTCGACACTGACTCAAACTCAACTCCTTTGGACAAAGCGATAAATCATCCATTAAAATGCCACTTTCAGAACTTAACGTAACAATTAATTATTTTTTTCAGTTGAAGAATTGCAGTGTCTCGCTTCATGGAAAGAAGGTAGCGCTAGATACTTAGTAGGAAAACTGCACCATACCCATGTTACTTCAAACGAAGACCGGTACAGGTGTTTCATTTACGAGAAATCATCTTCGTCCTTGGATGAAATGGAAGAAGAAGTCGATTTCAAAGTTGCTCAAAGCGGCGATGCTACTTGCAATGGCTTGTTCAGTGCTACAGAGGGTAGCAAAACCATGATTCTGAAAAAGGGTGAGCATTTGAAATAGTGAAATATTATCAGCTCCAAAAGTGCATTTTGTGGAAACTCTCTCATACCAGATGTTTCGATGGGATCTCGGAAACTATAAGAGATATAAAGATCTTCAAATCGAGTCAAAGTTGCGCATTTACCTAACTCATAATATAGGCCGTTTAGAAAGTTTTTAAATTCCAAGTATGTCCGGAGATATCCGAAAGAAACCGAAATTTTGGAAAAACGAATTAATTTTTCTCTGCCTCTATTCATTGTATATAGGATTTCAAAATAAATCTCACTTTTTAATTGTGATTTTCTCTCTACGACATGATGGTGGTTTCAGATTTGCTAGCCGACGTTTTGTCTCCCGGCCACCATCATCGCCTTTATTTATTCCAATGGGCGCTATATTGGATTTTTTCTGAAAGCACCATCATGTAGTAAAGGAAAGATAACAATGCCAAAGTGCAATTCTCTTGAAATCCTATGATAAATAAAGCCAAGAATTGGTCTGAACTTCGGACTCAAATGCTCCAGTAATTGCGTATAGGTTAAATGACTAGGTTTGTTCGTTTCACACACGGGTTTTTATAGACATGGTAAATTTCAACAGACAACAGAACATACACCTTCCTAGTGTCTTCAATGATAGATTTGCGGCAAATAGCTGTTTTAATCTCTTTAAAAAATTCGCTTCTCCCTACGAATCGAAACTTCTCTACTGAGATAAGGAACACCGCATTACACTGAAACTTGGAATTGTTTCTGTTTTCCCGACAAGCATTATCTTAAGAACAACTTTTTTATTATATATCCAGGATGTTGTATAGGTAATCAATATAAACTGCCTACAGAACTTGAAGAACATATTCGCTCTGACAGGAATAAGAGCCAAGACAGTGATATTATTCCATGCACCATGTCATCTATTAGTATATTGAAGTGTAAGTGGATATTGAGGTCTTAACGCCGTCGTGCTCGAGAAATCGAGATTGTTCTGAAGACAAAGTACAATTCGCGCAACTTTTTTATTGCTAGACTGAGATCATAAATATGAAAATAACAACTAATAATGTAGCATGGTTGAATATTTGTCAATGATATTTCATTTTATGCACGATCGAACGTAAATTAGCACTTCAGCGCCAAGTTTTGGCGCTGGCGTAAAGTGGCACACAATACAGGACATTTATGTTTCAGTTATGATAGTTCCTCATCTAATATTCTGATCAACAGTTCAGACTAATTATTTGAACAAAGAACAATCGATCATTAGAATAATCGAATTTCTCATGTCGCTCCAGTTATTTTCGAACTTTTCGAACGTATTTTCACGAGTGCCTCCTTTTCGCCTGCCAATTCATGTCGAAATCGTTCCACAGCTCCCCAGACGAGCAAATGCCGTTTTCCATTCTGGATATCGAACTACAACCACTGGCACACTCTGGATTATTCGGGGACGTACAGCTTTCATCACAGAAACTCCACCCTCAGAATAACTAATTCTTCTGGCATGGACATGAAGGTTGTTTGTATGCAGCAGAAGCAATCCACTAGGGATGAGAATGTCGTTGTTCTCGTGACGCATTTCACAATGGGATGGTGAGTTATTGAAATTAGTGTCAAAAAGTGATGTGAACTGATGATTATAGTCGGAAAAATAATTTTTTCATCGACATCTACAAGAAATCACATTATACGCTCCAATTTCCGACCAAAAAACCTTTTGCAGGGTTGCCAGTTCTAATGAATTTTCAGTAGATCTCCTGACTTGCATATTGATCTACTGAAACATTTTATAACCTACTGAAAAATGTTTTTGGATGTATGACAAATTGATATTCATCATACAGGACGGCGAAAGAACTTCTGAATTGGGAAAACCTAATTTCGAATCTGCGATTAAAGGTCTATAAAAATAACAAGTTTCCATCATTCAAGTTTGAATCCCTTGATTGGGTGAGAGTATTGAAATGGAATATTCTGAGATGAAATCATGAAGATAAAAAAATGGATATATAAATAAGGAAATACATTGAGAATTCCTAAGCTATATGCCACTACGAACATTGAATTATATCTATTGAACACACACGATAAGAATTTGAAAGCAAAATCTTCTGAAGCAACATTTTTGATATTGACCTAATATTTAAATTTTTTGAATTTGTCATGTTCCAGATATGTTATACAATGATAATTTTTTATAAATATATACCGTTTTTAGTAACATCAATGTAACCAACCTCAGTAAGTTGTAAGTACAGCACTCCATAGTTAACTAGCTTTGCTAATTTTCATAACATTTTGTAGTCTTTCCCTGATGATGAAAATATAACTTTCCGAAAGCTTGGACAAACTTGCATGAGTTTCACTTTTACTCTGCTGCTTCCCCACTATATATATGTATATGTACATTTTTTCATGTTCATAATTTTATCTGAGAATATTCCAGATCACTACTGAAAAATATTTTGACACTTACTTATTATCAATCTTTAGTTTATCACATTCACTTATAAATTGCATTATATTTCGGCACGCTCTGTTTAAATTATTTTTACAAAATAAGAAATAAATTTACATATAGGTACTAATGATATGTATAGATCAAGAAAGGACAATACTTTATCTGATTCAGATCAAATTTATTTTTTCATAAACCTCTGCTATAACAGTTTGTTTCTTACGGTCGATTTTTTTATTTGTTTAATAATTTAGTTGATCATTTTTCTATTCGTTCCTGTTTTTTATGTACTCAAATCTTATAAGTACCTTTGTAACTGTGTTTTGTGATATTTATGAGTATTTTTGATTTGAGAAATAGGAATATGATTATTTTTTTATGAGAATGTTTGTTCTGTTCATTTCTATTTTGTTGGAAATAGGTTACTTTTTTGTTTACTGAAAGTACATAATGTTTTGACGTCATAGGTTTATTGCCTTATCCTTCCTTGGAATTCGTATAGCATAAAGTTCGAACTGGCAAGCCTAGTCCGCGCGGAGAGTGAGGTGACTACAACTGTCATCTGCTGTTGTTAAATTAATTATTCACAAAATCCTATATATTTCACGTGTGAATAAAACCGTGATGTGAATATAAGTGTTTGAGGTCGACGAATAAAATTAATATGCACCTCTGCGAAAAACTGTCTTTTGTCTCGCCTGTTTGCTAGTATCGACTAAGGCCTTGGCTATCAATTCTCAGACTCGACTATAATAGACAGTTTTTCGTCCTTGGCAGATAAATAACTATTTCGTTCCATCGCCTCAGATTTGCTCATTCTGTCTAATATTGCGTACAAGCCTGCTCGTTAAATTCGGAACGAAGAGGAATACCATTGAAATTCTATTTTCTATAAACAAAATTGATATAATAATAATTCAATAATTTATGTTGCAGTCAAAATGGATTCATCTGTATGTCTCTCTATAGAAGAGATTCTCACATACTGGAGTTGCAGATGGGTTCCCAAACTAAGCGGAAGGAGGACGCTTGTAATGAAAATCACTTTGACAAGAACACCTTACCATACCTTACATTAGTTAGTGAGTATAATCCAAATAATTTATATTTATCCATTATTTTTATTCATCAACTCTGACTACTCGGAATAAAATAGAAAATATTGGCAACGCTGTTCAAAGTTGAGCAGTGATATCGCGGTAGCTAGTGAAACATTAGTTTCGACTATGTCTTTTGACTTGAAGCTTTTAATTATATTTTTTTCTGTCATATCCATGCTGATATAGTTCAAATTGTTGAAACAATATTTAAACGCCACTTATTTTTAATCGACTAGTACTAGTATATAACCATACTGAACCACTATGCACGATACGATATTTCAAAATGAAGTCAGCTGTAGATTTCAGGGCCAATTTGAAAATATCCCAGTGAGCAAAGTTATGTTATGTTGATGCAATGTTGAAGTAATTCCTGAAACGGACGTTCAGCAATATTGCAAATGTGAAGTTTGATAATGTAGCGTTGCAGCAATATAACATATTGCTGTGACATAGCTGGAACGTTACAATTACAAATTTACATTTGCAATATTGCTGAACGTCCGTTTCAGTAATTGCTACAACCTTGTATCAACATAGCTTCCAAATAAAGTTTTGTTCCAATTTACCCCACAGTTTCAAGTATCCCCATTTCACGGTGTTGATGAATTATGTCTCGATAAGATGGGCTAACACAGTAGTCGCATTTATGTCCACAAAATTTGTTGACCAATCAGGTATCTTCTTTCAGCGACTTCACCAGAAACGCGACCATGTCCGTACATCGGCAAATTCGAGGTCACGAACCTGCTTCGCGTGAAGCAGGATCAGCAGACCGCTACCAACAAATTCCCCTCGTTGCCGGACACCCGCTACTTCGACACGAACCTCTATCTGCGCAAGTCCCTGAGGTCAGTCTACCAAGATCTCCGTTCGAGGAGGGTGAAACGAGTGGACGACGAATCCGACTGTGATAGCGACGGTTTCACCAATCTCGTCATCGGCTGTGTCAGCTACGACACCATGGAGTTCAGGACGGATTGCGCAGCTCCGGACCTCATCACAAGTGAGTGACATATGCAGTGGTTCACCAAATCAAAAATACTGCCCAGTTAAGACAGATTAATACCAGAGTTATAAGAGGGCATCAGATTCATGCAACACATCACATCCGTGACTCGAAATAAGAGTCACACTGAAATCACAATGACTGCTATTCCGGACCCTTTCGGTCATTTCATGATTCACATTATGATGCCAAATGAAACTCACAATACATATTAAGCGACTCCTCATTCAACATCAAAATTGATTGATCCCATTTGATACATTAACAGACAAGGATGAGATCGAGGTTCTAGTCGGTCTCTTGGTTGTAAGGGAGCCTCATAAATTCACCTACATTTCAAGTCTCAAATCCAATAAAATAACGATATTGCGAATGTTTTGTAAAATAAAGAGTCCCCTGGCAATACCAATGATGTTTTTTTTTGTAATTCGCATTGTTACCAAGCGAGACAAAAATGTGACATCCCAGGGATGTTTGTGTTTACTGGGTGGGTGCGTCTCTTTTGTTTTACGATATATGAAAAAGTTGCTCGAAAGGACCCGAACTTATATTTTTTCTACTCATTTTATATACATCAGGGTCATTCGAAAAGGACGACATTAACTCTGTGTTTTTCAATACACCCTATATAATATTTGAAATGTCGAAAGAACCTCTTTTCAACAACCTTTCATTAGCTTCATCTGTAGGTGGTAATGCATCATGACATTTTTGGTAGACAAAACAATGGCGGTTCCAAAATGGCGAACGAGTTTTGTAATTATGATCTGATTGTATTTGAAATCGGTGTCTGGCGGATTTCGAGGTCGGAGATTATGATTATTTCTTCTAAATTGGTAAATTCCAGATGACGGATCCAATATGGCTCGTAGAATTTTGTAATTATGGTCCGAATCTATTCAAAATTTGTAACTGAGGGTTTTCGGGATCCGAGATTATGATTCTTTGGTCGAAATTTGAAAATTGAAGATGGCGGATCTAATATGGCGGACCTGTTTTATAATTATATATTATCCGAATATCTATTTGAAATTTGTATCTGGGAATTTCCGGGATCGGAGATCATGATTCTTTCGTAAAAATTAGCTAATTCAAGATTGCGGAAGAGTTTTGTAATTATTATCCGATTCTACTCAAAATTTGTATCTGAGGGTTTTCGGGGTTGAAGATTATGATTCTTTCGTCAAAATCGGGAACTAACCAATAATACAAAAACACCAAAAAAACACGATTTTCTAATTAGCCGAACAAAATAATTGAAATAAAGAGTAGTTTGAAAAACTACAGATACACCATTTTATATATGGCCAAACTAAAGGGAGGTAGAAAATAAAATAATGTTGATTGAAAAACACATCATGGAATGTACCAGGTGAACAACTAAGAACGACTGTTATATCTATCATTCTTCCAACATTGATAGTTAATATTTTCCGTTGGCGAAAAGCTATCTTGTTGCGGTTTTCGTTGGTAAGTTGAGATTCAGTTTTCAGTTTCTCTATTACATCGTGTGATAATATGGATATCATTAGATTTATTCTCTCTCAAATTTGTATCATTATTCGTTGCTGAGATATGGCCGACAGCCGCTCTTAGTTGTTCACCCGGTAGTGATTACGCTAATATTTTCTATGTTGTGTATTTATCAACACACTTTCATTATTTAATTTTCAAATACAAACACTACAGTCTCCAATACAAGATGCAGAATGACAATAATCACGTCTATAACTTTTTAAACTTCAAACTAATTCATTTTTTTTTCGCTAGTCGCTCTATTCATTGCTTTACAATACTACTCCGGTCGGGCTACCTGCCGATATTTATATCTGACCTAAGACATTCTGGCGTTTTCATAACCTATCAAAAACCTTCTTCAATTCTTCGAACAGATTCTACCTAATGCGCAGGCGGAAAAGTATAGTCTCGTAACAATATTTTCAGCTTATTCTTGCCACGGGAGATGGGAGGAGAACGGCACGAATTTCCTGATCACCACCCCGATCAGCAGGTCTTCACACGGGGCGCGGAGATACTGTTTCATTTACAAGGAGGCCCCGTCAGGGGTGCTGTTCTCCACTTCGTCGGATAGCTGCAATCGCCTGGTGAAACCAGGCGTAACCGGTGAACTCATTTTCAATATCAGTAGTACAGGTGAGTGGACCTTCATCAGCAGTGGCGTAATTAAGGGGGGGAGGGGGGCTCATGAAGTCTGGACCCCCCTCCAGAGCTGTCTGAGAAACCGAAACAGTCTGGTAAACAATTCTAATAATGGAAAAATTAGGAAATACCACGGGAGTTTAATTTGTTATTTGTTTGGGTAAAAGATCTGTCAGATGACCGACCCTGGAGATAAAACATTGAAATATAATTTAAAACGAATATTCTCAGATATAATTATGAACAAAAAAAATGAAGTACATGTAGAAAATTCAGGAGCATGTTGCTGACATCAAAATAAGAAGGAAAGTTCGAATAAATATATGTCCGAAAGTTATTCGTTTCTGAGTAACAGAGTGTCAAAGTTGAACTCTTATTATTGTTTTTGGTTAATAAATTTCAAAATAATTGTGATATTGGAATGAAATTTGCTATCTAGGGGTATTTTTCAATATAAACTTCTCTTCTCATTTTGACGTCAGCAACATGCTCCTGAATTTTCTACACGTACTTAGGAAACACCCAGTATATGAAGAAATACATCAAGAATTCGCATTCTCTGTGACGAAAATATCAATTCTTTCTCGGTTTATTCAACTGAAAACAACTACCATTCCTGGCTATATGCCATGACGAACATTGAATTACATCTATTGAACATACACGATAAGAATTTGAAATCAAAATCTCCTGCATATTAAGATATGCACATAATATCATCCTGAATATTCAACAGGAAACAACCACTGTCCTGGCCATTCGGAATTGGAATGGAATTATATCTGTTGAACATCCAAAAAGAGAGCATGAAAATCCTCTGAAATTGAGAATTGACTTCATCTCTCAGGATAAAATGATATGAGGTATTATGATGAAAAAAAAAATTTAAATATATCCTTACTTTTCTTATATTTGTTTACAAAGGAGTGAAATAGTTTTCCACAATTATTTTGGTATAAGAATCGTGTTTTTCGGATATTCAATGATTCAAGCTTGCCATCATCTTGTGCTGTTGTACAATGCAGCAAGAGACGAAGGAATCTAGTTTTTCAGGTAGGTGAGGTAGGTACATACATTGTGATCCAAAATTACTAAGGTCACTCACATATAGTTCTCATTTTGAAATTTTGTCATTTCTTATTCGAATTCTTTCTGCAATAGGAGCTAATAGAAATACTCGTGAAGTTTCTGAAAGGAGGCAAAAAGATTGGATTCGTGCAATCAAACGGGAGAACTGATGGTCTGATCTAGAGTACTACCTAGATGTTCTTGACACTGCTGTTTTGACGTTTTTTGTACATTAAAACGTCAAAATCAGCAGTGTCAAGTACATTTAGGAACTCTAGTCTGACCTGCTGACGAAATATGATTGTGTGTGTTGTAACATTTTCACTCTATTAGCATTATTAGCTTCTATTGCAGAAGTGGCAAAAGGAATTCTAATGAAAAATGACAAAATTTTATGATGAAAACTATATGAAATCACTATTTACCTGAAAAATTTCGTCACTGGCTGCATTTTTTTGTGCATTGTACAACAGAACAATGTGATGGTATGCTTGAATTAATGAGCCCAAGAAACACAATTCGCATCCCAAAATATTGTGAAAAACTATTTCAATAATTTGATTGCTTTGTAAACAAATAAGAAACGTGAGGTTCTGTTTCAATGTTTCACAAAAAAGTGAGGTTATGTTTCAGTGTTTTACCTCCAGGATCGACCATTGTGTACGCGACATATATCGGACGTTTTAAGGAATATATCGCCACCATATACGTATTAATAAACAATACGGATCATAACGGGTGCCAGGATGAAGCCAAAAATATGAAACAAATGAATATCCATAAGGATTTGGTGGCATGATACGCATGCGCCATGCGCTATTATAGTAGTCATCAAAGACATGCGTTTCGGTGGACAATGACGTTTACTAGCCTTTCAATCAAAGCAGTATGTGTCTGATCGTCTCAAAACTTTTCCTTATGGATAGTCATTTGTCTTCAAAAATCGGCTTCATGTTTCGCCATGGAAACAGATAGAGATTATCCGTATTGATTATTAATACGTATATGATCGCCACCCACTCTTGTAAACTATTTGCTCGTTTTATACCCTAATATTTTGCGAGACCTCTTTTGGGGCAGCCTCTAAATATTTTTTCCCTGTAAATATCTCTTTACCGAAGGGTGTTCAAGTGTCGGCAGACAGAACAATTTTCTCATTACATATTTTCAGAGAGTAGACAAATGATTTGATTTTTTGCATTCTGTCAATGTTTTCGAAATAAGTTAGTTATTGTAAACATTTCGGGATAACAATGGAGGTATCCAGTATCGTAATAGATTATAAAATTGAATAACCGCGTGTTTGTATGCGAAACCTGTTCTCTCTAGTCAATAGGAGATACCTAATTTCGAGAAATCTTGGTGAAGATTTTCTTATTGAAATTTTCAATCCCACTTTTCCTGAAAACGGCTTCACTTATACATAGGTAGTTGATCAAAACCTGCTCCTATATATATAGATACTTGATATCTAAAGATTTGGTACTTATACTAGTTTTGAGGTGGAAATGAGATTTTCATGAAAAAATTTGTACATCTGGTTTTTTTTTTTCAGGAAAATGTGTAGAGACAAACTCTTCATGCACCACTTTTGCGGTTAACTGTTGGTTATGCTGGTCAACATTATGTTGTTTGGTGTTGAGAATACTCATCCGAAGTTGATTGATGAATTCGTAAGTTAGAAAAAAAAGTGAGACTGTATTTCAGATGTATCGCGGTTGTGTAATTCAGGGAAATTTGAAAGTGAGTTTTTAATAAATCCGATAGAGCATTTCATAATAATCATCGATGAAAAAAATATATTGGTTGATCTTTGGAAGAAGTCCATGGTAACTCAAAGTGGAGTGGTATAGTTCATAGATGAAAACCCAAAATCATCTCCACAACATTCATTTTAATGATCAAAGATCAATCGTAACGGAACATATTTTGGGCTTATATAAGCCCATCATCAGCCAATAGAAAGTATCAAAGTTATGGAAATGAAAATAGTAGACATACAAATAGTAAAGTTAATAACAGGGCAAACAGGGAAATATGCTCCACCATTGTCTCTGTGTAATGATATAAATTCATTATATGTTATAAACTCATTTGAACGGTTGAGAGTTGGGTTAATATGTTACAAGGGCTCACGTATCCTTCGAAAAATCAAAATAAAAAGTTTGATTTGAAATTTGAGCCCGACCCTTAATTGAACGGTTAAGGGTAATAGGGTTACAACATAATAAATTTATATGATTTTACAGAGACAATCATGGATTATATTTCTCTGTTTGCCCTGTTATCAACTGTACTATTCGTATATCTACTTTTTTCCATAACTTTGGTAATTTCTATTGGCTGATTATGGGCGTATATATACGTCCTAAACATGTTCCTTTAGGATTAATCTTTGATCATTCGAATGCATGTTGTGGAGATGACTTTGGGTTTTTATCTATGAAATTCATTGGTTGAAACAGTGAATCAGAATTCCGAAAAACTCCGGAGAATTAAATATTTGATTTTAACTTCATAATTCAAACTCTTTCATTATAGTTATTTATTACTCTTTATACTTTTTCACTTCTTTCCAATTCGATATTTCGATATCTTCAAGTACTGTTCAGGTGTTATATTTCTTTCAATCTGCTGTTGTTTTCTCAATATTAATTTATTCCAGCTATGTCATTGCATTATACATCATAGGGATACTAAAATGTATAATGCAAACATAATTATGGGCCATCAATTTTTAAGAAATGTTACTTCAGTGAACTATGATTTACAAAATTTTTGCATTTTTTGATGGTAAATCGCAATAATTTAATTGAATCGGAAAAATTTCATATATAGGGTGTTATTTGAGTATGTGGCCAAACTTCAACCGATATACATGTATGCATGATTATATCAGACGGAAAATGTAAACAAACAGATCCACAGCATTGCTTCGTTTCAAAGACTCAATAAGGCGTCATCTTGAAAAAAAAAACATTCTCGATAATATTTGACAAATATCTTAGTAGGTTAATTATTTTATTTCCGATTTCGTTGAAATTTGGAAGTGTTATTCTGGATAGTGAAGGGCTATCTATAACCGCAACTATGCAATCCATTTTTTCTTTCTTCGCATTAAACTACTGAACTCACAACCTTTCTTTAAGTTACTAGCTTCATTTTCTTATATTGCTTCGTTTTTGGAAAGAAATATAAAAATTACCTCATTGCATGGCTATTTACAACAATGAACACATTTTTCTATGATTATTAAAACACATAGTTGTCTCACGGAGATGCAATCTAGTGAGCCCATTTTCTACTCTGAATAACACTGCCAAATTCTTGAAGTTTGCCTAACTTACCATTATGTTCAAGAGAATTTACTTATTTTCAAATTTCCGAATTTTGTACATTGAATCATGCAAGTATATAATGTTATACTTTGAACTGTGATTAATACAATATAGCTCGATTGTAGAATATTATCTTATTTATATTAGATTTTCAGAATAGGTAGAATAAACTATTAAGAGTTAAGTGTAATGACACTTTAAAAACTAATTGTAAATAAGTTTAATCCATAGTCGAACCGGTGTAGAATATTCAAGATCAAAATGGAAGCAATTTTAACCGAAAACAATAATCCAGATCCTGTTGCCTATTTTACATATATTATAATTCTTTGAATTTCATACTGGTTTCAAACCCAACTTCATATTTGATTATTCCAGATGAAAACTTTTGAGTGATATTTTCCTGCAAATGATTCATTCACTAGTGGAAAAAGCATATCAATCATTCATTAGTTCCATATTGATATTGAATTAATGTTTTCAAAAGTTATTTCACAGATTATAAATGAATATTAGGTGAAGCAGTCTATCGAGATGCTTGCAATAAAATATGTATTTTTGCACAAACATTCGCTTGTTTAAAATAAGGTGATATTTTTGGTAACCAGAAGCAATACTACAGTTATTTTATATTTATTATAAAATGACTCCAATCTGAATAGTTATACTTATATTACCTATATATTTGGTTTCTCATGAGCAATAATATAGAATAGTTATAGTTGCAAGTTTTTATATAAGATGATATATATAGAACCTAATTATTTCAATATCACTGGTACCCATTTTCAATATCGTCATCTGAATATATACATGATATTATGCTAGCAAATTTAGCAATAATAGAAGATACCTTGTACATATTTTTCAATTTATCTATTTACTTATTGAATCAAGTAAAGTCTACATATTTCGCCATTGAATATTAGTTTCTTATACAGCAGTGGCGTAGCCAGAGGGGGGAGACAGGAATTTCCAGTTGATGAGAAAAACCTATCTGAAATCATTCGACTGATGAGCATACAACAAGCTCAGCCCTAATGATTATTCATCGTAATATTCGAATCGGTACTAATGAATTTATTATCATATATTACCCCAAACCAATCGGCGAATTGTACTTTGGATGTTTAGACTGAAATATATATCTATCTGCTATTTTATTATGGACTCTTGTTCCATTTTATTGTCTTCTTCAATTTGGTATTTGTTTTTCAATAAACAAGCCTATATATGCTCATTCATCGATTTTTTTTATTTGTTCTTACGAATCACCTAAAATCATGTTTGCCCCCTCCCTGAAATATATTTCTGGCTAAGCTACTGATATACAGTAAGGTCGTAAAAAGTTTTGCCTCCCCTTCAACATTATTTGAACGCAATTAACAAGCGAACGAGGTCAGATAAAATACAGGTAAAAGGGTTACCTTTATTAATATTTAAATTTTTTTTTTGAAGTTATGATAGATTCCTCACAATATTTCGAAACTCCCCAAACATCAACTAACACTATACCTAAATAGTTATTTTCATTCCCAACATTTATCTGCAACATATCAATGACTTACAATCTGATTAAACAAAGGAATCATTAAGTCTAAGTCATAAAATTTCGAGCATAATATCTCAAATATACAGATATTGAGAATATGAAATCGCAAAGTATACTTTCCATGCAATGTAACCAATAACGTTTTTTGATGAAATCGTGATTTCATTCCAAAAATGTCACAGAAATGGTATAGTGGCGCGGCTCTCCCAATATATCTTATATATTCTATTCTCTCGCCTTCATATCCATGGACCTATCATATTGTTGAACCAAATAGATGATTTAACTAATTTCCTCTCAGTTACGTAATTTTTAAAGAATTTGTTTCGCCCTGTATAAGGATGATACTACAAGTGATGATATAAAGAGCACAATAATATAAGGCTCAGTTTTCTTTCATCGAATTAAGTATGAATTTCCTTGTACGTAAACAGAACAGAAAGTCAAAAATACTATATGGGAAGTCAATTCCACAAAATTTCCTGTTTTTGTTACTTATATTTTTTGAATACTCATGTTCGTGAAATATGTTCAAAATCACATTACATTCTTCCATCAGATACACGTCGGTGAACCAAACACCCTGTATACCAAGATCAACAGTTCAGGTTGTAGAATTGTAGATATACCTAATACTCTCGCTTGATTCTTGTATTCAGAAGTCTTGTTTTTTATCATTTTTAATAAACTTCTCACGTCAGTCGTTCTATTGATGATAACTCTCAAGTTTTGTCATGTAGAAATAAAACTAATATTCTTGTAGAAATGCAAATGAGTTGAAATGCTATAGTTTTGATTATTGTTTCTGATGGTATATATCTACGATAGACATAAGCGAAACATATGTTTTGATGTTTTTGAAAAAGTTCTGGAAATCTGACGTTTTTTACATTGTTTCACCACCACATCTTGATTTTCATTCAAGTTATAGCTGAGTAAATCAATAATATAAATTATGATGTCTCGGGTCACTATACATATTTTAGAAAATTTGAAATAACGATTACACTCAAATATGCGAATAGCTTGGTCCATCTACGGCTCAGGTCCATGCTGATATAGGTAGGTTTTCTAAGCAGTATGCACTATTATCTCAAACCAATTTAAATACAATGACATAATGATAAGCGAGACCCCCATAAGATTTTACTCCTACCAGTTAAAGCAAGTGTTATAGCAAAATGATGCAACAATTTTATAAACAAATTTTTATAAAAAAAATAATAGGTATCTAATAAAGTTGAATAATTTACAAACAAGTTGTGCGATTTGCAATCATCGTAAGTGTAAAATATGTACAATTCGTTAAGAATATTAGTGGACTATAGTTTAATGATGTAAAGTTAGGATAAATCAATATTGAAATTTTAGTGTTGTATTTATAGGTATCTAGTTGGTTCGGTTCTTGAGGCAGTATTGAAAAATGCAGCCAAGTTCATTCCCATTGTTAAGGAAAATGTTATACCCGATGCCTATTTTCCATTCAATTATTTATTACGTCAATACTATCAATTGAAATCTACGATAATTGATGTTATCAACAATTATTCATGAATGAAAAGATCCTCACAGAATTTGTTCGAGGTGGAAATTCAATTTTTTAAGGAAGACTGTCCAATTTGGTTTGGTCCAACTTATATACAGTGGTAGATACCATTCAATGGCTTACCCCACTCAATTAAAATGGTGTTGAAGACGCGTCATCAATTTTGTTTTTTGATGACCCATATTTTTCAATCTTCACCACATGAAATGGACGGTTTCAAAACATGCATGAGATACACACAATTCATTTTTTCCAAATCGAATCATGACCAAATCAGACTCTCACTACTGAAAACTATACTGCTAAACTTCTACAAAATTTGGTACCTAGTTATACCAGGATTTTCAAGATAATTGATGAAAACGATTTTTGAAAAATAAAGTTTGACACTCTGTATCTTGAAAACTATGCATTTCCGCCTTCCGGGCCGAAAGTTTATGTGAAGTTTTGAAATCGCTCAAAAAATCACACCATTAAATTTTGCCGCATAGATACTTTGTTATTCTACACATTGTATAAAATGAATGAATTTGACTGCGTTTTTGGCAGAACGGTGCCTTTGATATTTCGGTTGAACTGAAATCGGTGGTTGAATGAAAACCAATCCAGTTGTTGTATCACCTGTACATTACTCGAAATACTCCATATAAAAATTTCAAAATCAACCCGTCTTATTTTTTTTTCTTCCTTATAAATCATTTTTCCACCACTAGCTATAGAACACACTATTATTTACTCCTTTTTCAAGGTGTAAAATGTGTTTTAACTGCTAAGGTAAATCTCGTCAATTTATGATGTCCAACCCTGCTTCGCACCGTTAGTGTACCCATTTAAAAATAATAAGACATCATTCGTTGCAGTCGTTCTGAGCTATGCGAATATCTACAGTATTTATATTTTTTCCATTTTTTTTTTATTTGTTGTGCTTATACCTATATAGCTACTATTATATACTTACCTACACTTACGTTTATTATCTCAGTATCTTCTGTATTTTTTTTTGTATTACGTATAAAAAATTTTAATCCAATGGGGAAGACCACTATAAGAGAAGAAATCCGTGCAAACCTCTTTCAATCGACGAATCATGATTTACGTTTGATGTACAATCAATATTATGAGTTAAAGTTGAAGGGTATCGTATCTATATCGTTTTGAAATCAGCATATTTCATTCGATATTTCAAACAGCCAAATATGATGGTGGAGTCGTGACGTATTAGTCCCGAACTGTGGCTATCTCTCTCTGATACCTTGTCATTCTGCAGTGTTGCAGTGTGATTGGCCAGTTCAAGGACAATAGGCGTGTTGGGAATAAGACGTCGCACCAGTCACACCAAGGAACTGACAAAATTTCAAATGGCACAGGAATTGTGTGTTTTGAAATGGACATATTCTAATTTATTATTTTCATCGTCTTAGCATGAATGCGAGGAAATTCAAAATTAATTCGCTGGTAGTTTTTCAGTATAGAGTTCACGATAATGTCATTTTAAAAAATCAGTGGTCTTCCCCAGGTCAAGCCGTTTAGTAGTTGACGTAGATACCCATACGAAATTTCAACCCAATTGGTTCATCCGTTTAGAAGTTAGTGAAAAAGATATAAGCATATCATATAAGTACGGAAGGATAATTCTTACTACCCGTTGTTACCCGTTTTCCCGTAGGAATGAAGCAGTTTCCCGCAGTAAAAAGTAGTCTATGTTCATCAGGGAAAATGTCGGCTTCTAATGGTAAAAGTATTTTTCGAATCGGTCCAGTTGTTTCGGAGCTTATTCAATACAAACAAACTAACGGACAAAAAAATCTGTCCTCTTTATAATATTAGTATAAACCTCTGTTATAATCAAGCAGAATTCACTGTTCTTATGCGAGATTCGCAAGAATGGCAGTCGAATCTAGTAGTTATTTATCAATAACGACTTGTTATTTGCTGTCATGGTAATGACTACTTTAGATTTTAATTATAATTGAAAAGCAGTGCTTTCATAGTGATAATAGGTCCATAAACGACTTATTATTTGTCATTATCATTATACTGACTCTAAATGACGTACCGAAGAAAAGAATTAAAAATAAAGAGGAAATGATAATCTATAACCACATCTCCCAATTCGAGAGATATACAGGGTCTCTATATAAATGATCGTAGCATCGTTAGGACCGTTGAAATAGTTTATTGATTTGCCGATCATTAATAGAAACCCGGGTGGACCCGTTCCATTTCTATGACAGTATATAAGTCAATATAAGTTGTGTTTACTGGTTGCCAATAAGTAATTTCTGGGATATTTAAAAATGTAGTGGAAATATTTGCTCATTTGGATTGCGAAAATATAACTGCCCATAGTACCTTCTTGAAAAAATTAATGTTGAAGAATATTGACCTAAATGATTCTATTTAATCACGAATCAAAGGTTTACTAGTCTCAGAAAAATTCACCGTTCTTTTTGGTATCAAATGATTTTTCATTCTAAATGAAAAGTATCTATCCTATATATACCAAGAGATTCAAGAAAGTTCTACCTTTATGAACAAGAACAAATTTCGAGGTCAATATATCTTACTAGGCGTATCCGTATATCCAGAAAATATAAACTAGCACGATAATGAAACATATAAGAGACTCTGCAAACAATTTTTAATAATTCAAGAAGTTCATATCAATACAATTCTGAATTACATGAAATTTAAGTTTTTTTACATAATTATTCACAATATTACCCACCTTGAAATTATATGTGCACGGCTACCTTTAAATACAGGGTTGGTCACGGTCGATGGTACCTTTGGACGTTGTTCTTGGTCTCGATCCATCTGAAATATTTTCCGCAATGCAGCGTTGCCGCTCATTCCAGAAAGTAGTAGCAAAACGAACACCCTGTATTGCATTACACTTTCAAATTCTTCCTGAAGAGCTGATTGCATCAATGCATCACACTTGGTGTCTAGCTGGAATGATTACAGAGATATAGGGTGTACAAAATCGAGAGATATCAACTTTAGGATACGTTTATGTCGAAACTATATATATTTTTTATCGGTCAAAAGGGTTTTCATGTCCCTATATCTCATCTTCTGATTAACTATTTACTGACATTCAATCGGAGCAGAAACATCATCAGGGTGATCGGAATTCTGAATCTTGAACTACCCTGTATTTTTTCCAATTGAATGTCAGTAGATAGTAAATCAGCAGTTGAGACTGGGATATGAGAGCCGTTTTGACCGATAATACATATTATGTCGACACAAAAAAATCCTATATTTGAAAAATCTCGATTTTGAACACTTTATATCCCTGTAATAATTCCCGATATACCCCAAATGTGGTACATTGATGAAATCAGCTCTTCAGGGACAACCTTAAAATGCAATGAAATACAGGGTGTTCTTTGTAAAATATCATACTTTCTGGTATAAGCGGCAACGCTGTATTGCTGATAATATTGTAGATCCATAGACCAAGAGAAACTACGTAGCCAAATTTGATGATAATCCTGTCCCGTTTTCCGTAAACGTCTAAAAGGTACCATCGAACGTGACCCACCCTGTATATATCTATATAAGCATGTATAGCTGTGAAGAACAACAATAAATGAATAAAAAATGTGCAAATGTTGCTAATATTTTATATTTGAAGGCTAATTCAAACTCATGCATTTTCGCAATTTCTCCACCCTTATAATTTTCATGGTTCAACATGAAATTTTTCGAAAAACCAAAAATAGGTATCTTCAGAAACTATATAGAAATATGTAGGTTTCTCTGGAAGTATTGATTTTGAAAAGGCTAAATGTTTGTACATGAATTGAATTCTAACTTTTTTTTATCTCTTGGGCGCACGAAAGGGAATTTCTATATTCGGAGAACATCGTGCGTACCTAAGCTACATAATTATTACCTACAGTCGTATTCAATGAAAAAGCGCCGTACAAGTATTAAAAAAAAGGATTTCGGGATCCTCTATAGTTCTAGTTGTGTAAAACTGGCTCAGCCAATGCTTTGTGTTTTCGAGAACCTATGACAACTTTACTGTCAACATTTGGTAATAGTATATTATTCAACGAGCGCATAATGATGGCTATTACCCACGAAGATGAAAGTTGCAGTACGAGCCAAAGGCGAGTGCTGTAATCATCTGAGTGGGTAATAGTCATTATGTGCGAGTAGAATACTATACTTTATCTACAACTATTCCAATATCAAAGCAACTCTGACAGTTCAGAAATATATCTTTGGAAATAATTAAGGTTATTTTATTGCAAAATCACTAAATCTGATTTGAAATACTCATTAATTTCATCGAAAACCTATTGACAGAAATTTCAATCGACGAACAGCTTATAACTTATTTCAATAATTTTGATTGTGAAAATATGATATACAATGTTGGATCTAACTTTTATTAACAGGAAAAAAGTCGTGCAATCACATATCAGTCAATCCTACCAGGCATTATATGCCTTTTCACTTTTCAGTTGTAAAATGAATCATACTGTTGCAGATTATTCACTAACTTGCTTCCGCTGTAGCGTTCCCCCACCGCGATGATTAATTGTAGTACCCTGTCTCTAGATGCTAGTTATCAACAATGAAGTTCCATGGTCATAAGTGTGAGCCAATCTGCAACTGTCAAGTGTCAAGTCCTATTTTATGGTTATGGTTACTCATGATGGTAGTCACTGTTGAGAATGAAAAACAATGAATTCTCATTTTTCCATGTATTTGTAGAATTGAGGTGATTAAAACTATGAGAACCATGTAAGGTGCGTCTTTTGAATTTGCGTGTATTTCACAAACAGTAGTATAGTGGTGTGCTTTGGCCTACCTACCTAGTTGAATTTGACAAGACGATGGGATGTCAGATTATTACGCCATCCTACTGTCATATCACTCTTATTACTCGATTCATCACAATAATGTCTGTCATTAAATGTTGAAAATCGAGTTAGCAATGAATGAATGACTCCATAGTTGTAGATAAACAATCATTCCCTATGGCCCATTTCACGCAAATAGAATGATGTTAATTTTTCTCTGTAATATATACTTGTACGCTTTTTTTTAATGCGACTGTACCTTTAAAAACTCTTTCAAGAGAAAAAACAGGTAAGTACATTATGTTCATTACAATAATGCCAGTATTGCCCATGCATCTAAATAAACTGGTTATCAATTTGTGATAGAAGCTAGATAATAATATATTGAAATGATGTTGCAAGAATTTAGGACCCTTTTGGAAAGTAAAGATAGCGAATTATAGAAACGTTTTTTATTATAATCGCGTCTATTCATTATGGGTTTTCAACAAAACAATATGTATAATATGTTTTCAATGATATTACAAAATTTTGACGGTGGCGCTGTTATATATAGGTACCTACTATGTGCTCGACAAAAATATGAATGTGGGAGAAATTGTTTCAATAATCGGCTTACACATTAGAGACAGAGTGCAATAAAATTCATCCATTTCCTTCCAGATTCCTGATTGAGTCGAATTGTTATTATTTTCCAACGAATATGTATGGGTAGTGAATAGCCGGATAAAAGGGATAGTGTGGGTAGAGGACATAGGCACTTTCTGAGCCTTCAAGGTCACCGTCTGCTTTCATCCCTCTTGACCTGAAATCATAATATAATAATATCATGAATTGGTC